TTTCCCCCCCCCCCCCCCCCCCCCCCCCCCCCACTCAATATTTCCCCAAGAATGGGTTTCGGGAATCAATCCCAGCCATAATTAAAGGAATTTTCCGCCTTTCATCCGTCCTGACATTGCATCAAGAACCGTGAATTTATTCCAATATTGCCTAACGCTTTGACGTCACTTCGTTTGACGATGATGGAATGCCATCGACCGCAGTTTCTCGGAATCCTTTTCGGACCCGGATCCTGTCTTCGGAAAGATGGAATAAGCCCATCACGAACAGGATCTTTCTTCATACGCCGACGACGGGTCCATCGCGCCCTTCGAGTCATGCGTTGAAACGCCGAGGCGCCAACGCAGATCCCGTGATTGCAGGGTTTCATCATCCGGAATTTGATTAAATGGGGGTCTCGGGGTTGGTTATTTAGTCGAAGCCCTGTCCTGCTCACCCGTTGAAGTGGTGGGAACAAAAAAAGCGAAGGTGATTGAGGGAAGAAGCATGAGCCGACAGAGGGGAAAGAGGCGAAAAATGATGCTTAATTTCGGGTAGCCCCCAAACAGAGGCGGGAAATTGCTTCCAGTCTTTACTTATTGCCCTTGGCGCCTCTAGCACACTCTTGGGTCCCATAACAACAAATAGTCGACAAGGCCTCTTACTTATTTGGGCCCCGGAACGCCAACGGTCGTTTTAGCTTATTTCAAGGCGTGTCATTGCCAGGCAATTCGGGAATTCTTTCGGCGACGGGAGCAATAGCGCCAAGACGGAGTATCTTCTCGGATGAATATAGAAAGGGAAAAAAAATACGAGTCAATATTGGACCCCTGTCGTGCCGACTCATCAAAGAGGTTATTGAGGGAAAGACCCATGGCGTGCCCTCTCTCCAACGAGGTTATTGAGGAAGTAATCAACCGGCACGCGAAGAAATATTGCATGATCAGGCGAATAGAGTCCCGACGCAAACAGCCTTTTCCCCAAGTTTTCGGCGATGGCCCATGTTAGGCACCCCCCCCCCCCCCTTCTCTTACCCTTGTACCGTGAAAGGGTCATGAGAACTGGGGCATTTGTTCGCGAGTGTCAGATCGCGATAGGCGGCTAAGTACTTTGGCACCACCAGCCGCGAGATGGATATCACCATTAACACAATACTATCAGACGAATCCTTTGTTCTCTCCCCCGAGGGTGATCATGGATGAATTCTTCCTCGTCGTCCGTGTGGATGGGTCCTAATTACGGACGAGATCGTATAATTCATCCAGTCTTCTTTCTTAACGGATTTATCGGGAGCACGACTCGCGTTCGAGTGAATCAAGGATGCCCAAAGGGTATCTCGAAGGATCACGATCGCATCGATCCGGCTTAAGCTGCCAATCATCGGGGGTATTTGGGTCTTTCAGATAAAGGCTTCCGGCTCCACCCTTGGTTTTCCCCCTCATTTTCTCCATACTTATTACCAGGTCGTAATACATGGTCGAACTCGTCTCTCGATTCGTTTCGCGCTGGCGTCTCATAGTTCGGAGGCGATACCACAGATGTCGCTCCGTGTCTGTTTCCCACGCTCGCCTTTCTCCCTCCTCGGCCGTCAGCTACGCATCGATTCCAGGAAAGATTTTTTCGCGTGACGGAACCCCCGTAATCTCCGAGTGGTTTCTTAATCGGTTATTGGAGCATCTCTGACGTAACCATCGGTCAGTCTCGTATATAATAAGTTGGAAGTAAACTGATCCCCCGGGCGCAGGGCGACCTCTGGGGGTCATCCCCCTCCCATAATCGCCGTGCCCCTCGGACACGTCCCTCCTCCTCACCCCCTCTATCTCCTCGGATATCTCGCCAAATTATACTCGTACCTACACTGAGAGAAATATGGTCATTGACGGGAACCAAACGCCTACGGACAAAGCTTTCCTCGCACGACAGATTGTCGTTGCATTCGTTAGACGGCCTTCGACTCCCCTCCACGTGGACCGTTTTTTTTCACATTTTGGGCTTTATTAAGGGGAATTTGATGAACTTAATCGCCCGTTTATCGCACTGTTCGGGGCACGCCCTTTCATCATCGAAGGCCCGAAGGACGATCACCTTTTTCCTTCGTTTCGTTTCCCTATATGAGCCATTGGCTCCCTCGCGGAGTATCTGGTTGCTCTTGAGAATAAATGAGGCCACGAACACGATCCATGCATTGCCAGGGAATGTTAACGTTTTTTCATCAAGGACAGCTTTTTTTTCCTTCTTTTTTTTTCCCAACCACTGATTTTTTTCTACTCCCACATTCCAGCTACATGTCATTGTTCTTGGAGCCGCGGTCGAAAAGTTTACATTACACAGTGATGATACACAGGCTTACACAAAGAATGCTCCGTTGATTGACGTGATCTCTAATTCCGTCTCTCACGCTACGGTGAAAGCCAAAGGTCACCCTCGTCTACTCCCATGGCTCATTCAATGAGAGCAGAACATTAAGAAGAAAAAAAACCTTTGGAAAGCGCATTCCAAACCCATGGGAACCTTTTTATTAGGAGAAACCCCCCGAGGGAAGAGGATTAGTGAGAAATGAACCCATAGAGAACCCATTGAGAAACGTATCTAGCACTCGTCCATTTTCTCTTCATCTCGGCCCAAGGTTAGCTCTTCGAAATGATTCATTTTCTGGAAATGATTCATTTTCAAAGAAACTTTCCCCTCCAAGGGACAAAACCCGACGCATAAAAAGGCACAGCGTAATGGGAACGGCACGTCTTCGAGCCCCAATTACTCCGCAGGTCCCACGCCGGGGTGCAACGTACTCTACCTCTCCCTCTCGATGAAGTCGGAAAAAAAAACCGTGGAAGCTTGATATCGGCCTCGAGGCGGCGGTGAACGTCCCCGTCAAGAGATTTCGAATTTCTTAAATCATCTTGGGTGACGTTCATGGGCACGGGAGAATTTTATTTATTTATTTAAGGTCGCTCGTTCGTTTCCAACTGCGCTGAAAAAATTGTCGGTGCTTCTTTTTACACCGACTGATTTTTATTCCAAGGTTTTAATTCGAGTATCACGTATCTGTACACTTTGTGAATCCCCATTGGAAATATTCGTTAAAAAGAACAGCTTTTCGTTCTCAGAAAAGAGGCTGAATGAGGTAATCGATCTCTGTGGGAGATCGATTCCCTCATTCAGTTGCTTCACCTGGAACACCGACATATAATAATATCGATAACGTATATCTAGTTTATTTCCGAGAAGAAGCTCCATGTCTGTGCTGGTGTATTCCATTTTTCTCCCTCGATTGCTTGTTATCCTACACCGCAAAAATACACAAATGACGTATTCTTGGAAAGCCAATGACGGCGGAGGGGTTGCCATCGTGACGACGGAAAAGTAGTCATCCAGGGAGAAACGAAAGAACTAGCTAGAGAGCGGGAGCATTTTTTCCTCAATCGCTGTCAAGAACCGATCCCGCACGGATCCGCTGAAGGAAGCTGACCTTGGCGACTTTGGCGGGCGAGAGGGAGTCGGGGAAGCAGGAGGCCGGGAGGAGTTCGTGGGTGGTGCCGGTGCTCAGCCGCAGGATCCCCCGCACGTGCAACTGGGACGAGATCACCTCATGCTTCATCGACAGCAGGGCCGGGCCCAGGTTCTCGTCCCTCGCCACGAAGTTCAGGTGTTCCTATAACAGAAAAAAAAGGTGTTATCGTAACAGAACTCTAGGCCACTTGTACTACATCTGGGGGGTTGGGTCGATTGAGGCACAAGGCATTCTAGGAAGTCGTCGGGCTCTTGTACCAGTTTCTGTTTTGGTACTTCAGAGGACAACTAATCAATCTTGAAATAAGGCGCTCTAAAAAGTTGTCAGGCTCTTGTACGAGTTTTTGTCTCTTATCATGTCTGTATGAAGGTCACCCTTTGACTGAAACAATGAGGGCATTGTGGATGAGATATTCACAGGGATTTGCCCCCTCGCGTGTTGAGGTCACACCACGTAGACGAAACGTGAATTCTCCAGACCCCCCTCCCCTCCCCTGTCCTCAAAGGTTCAGTTCAGAAGCCTCTCGAGAGGGAAAATAAAGAGAAAGCCAGCCGGTTAGAGGAAATAATATGTATGGATCTTGGGAGGTCGACGATGTTATTTATCCCTGATGGAAGGATCGCGTGCAAGATTGTTATAGTTTCCAGAACCCCTCCTATATCTCACACGCTGGCGCAATTGAGTCCGGTTGGGCAACGTCGGCTGAGGTCCTTCGACGGCGTTAATTTAATTAAGAGGCTCGTAGCAAAAAAATACTTAAGAGGCCGGGCAGACATATACATCCGTCTCGCGGTTTTCTTCCTCTATCATCAGATAACCTTCAACCGAGAGCATGGACACATCCTCGTTCGGACAAGATCCATTTCCATAATGCGTAGTTGAAAAAAAAGGGGAATATTCATGGCGAGTGGCGTTAAGGCCGGGCGGAGCGGTGACACGAGCCGCGCCCACGCCTCGGGGACGAGTAACGCGCAAAGGCGAGGTGGAACTCCGACGCGGATCCATAGAGGCGAGGGGGGGAAATCCGTTGGGGACAATTCATCATTCCGTTACCCTTGGGCTCGCGAACCGCCGAAGACTAATTGATTGAATTGAGTTGCAACACCTCGATCTTAAGCTCCAAGGTTCCTCAACTACGTCGTCTCATGAAGATTGATAATCGACAGTAATGATATTGATAATAAGAAGGATGGGATCGCTCCCCGGGTTCCAATTATGAAGCGTCTTTATCCCGCCTCCCACACGGTTTTCATCGACAAAGGAGGAATTGGGTGACCTGTTTCCAGCCTACGTTTCTATTATCCACTTTGTGGTAAGAATGAGAAGATCTGGGGCTTTTCCTTGATGTCTCTGCGATGCGTCACAATGCGATTTCCCCGACACGAGACCATTGTCTGATTCAGACCACCATAATCAACGAATCCGACATTGTGTGTAAATTAGGTCGTGGAACGTGGGATTCCTTACGTGTCAGTGAACGGGATATCTCCTCGCAAGTGTCAATCCGTTGATCGCCGGAGGGGGCTTGCATGAGAACTCTGAGGGAAAAAATCGTAAGAAAGCCCTCACTCGTACCGACCGAGCGTGAGAACCGAGCCCTGGGAACCGCCATCCTCTCGGAAACAAGAGCAGTCCCCTCCCCCCCCCCCACCCCCCCTCGCAGCATTCGAAACGAAATGGAAAGAGCGAAGAAATGAAAGAAAAAGAAGCAATCAGAAGTGGTCGCGAAAAAAGACGTGTGGCGGTCGGATTCCGCGATAGCGCGTGGCACTTTCAGCGTCATTTTCTGTCTGCTCCCACTTGCAGGAAGACGCAGATTATTTCTAATCACCATCATGATGACAATGAGGGTCATTTCCAGCATCACGAACCGACTTTCACGAAGAGAAAGATCATGTCGGCGTGGGAAAATTCGCTTCTGGACGGCGAATTGGGTTGAGAAACTCTTTCGAAACGAAAGCCAGAAAGTCAGCCGGTTATGTTATTGGCCACACGTACTCGTACACGAGGCACGTGCGTGACTTGGATCGCGTATGCCGTCCGATATCCCACCTGCACTGCCATAAGTCAGAGGCTCGATAAACGGGGAAAGGAAAGGAGGTTTTCGCGTTGCTTTAGGCCTTTCCACACGACCCTCGGTCGTCTTTTCACCAGCCACTCATTTCCTTTCCACCGCGTAATGAAGACGTACGGTTCCAAAAGGCAGGGATCCGTGAAATAAAGCCAGGTTCCCATGCAAAATCCCTGACGAGATATCACAGCGGGCGTTCCGTCCCCAACCCGTTAATCGCAAGAAACGGGGACGAACATTTCGGTCTCTGTCGGGAATGGAAAAAGTAGACGTCACCGCCGGTTGCATCTCCCGGTGTCAAAAGGAGTAGAAGGAAGCGTGGATGAGTGGACGAGGCTTATTATCAGCGCGAATAAGCGAACCTTGAAAGGAAGCAGCTGGTGGATAAATGGGTGGCAGATGTCTACGAGGGGGCATTCAGACCTTGTTTTGTTTCCTTCGTCCCCACCAGGTAGACAGGAGACACATCCGCTCCGATAAACATGGGATGGGAAGGTGAGAGGGAAAGGAGAGTTCTGGTTCCTCTGACCTTTGTCATCGGTTTTAAACGCTCTTTTCCTCTGGTTACTACGGGAGTGGAAAACAGCAACTTTTTTCGCAGGACTCAGACGTAGCATATGGTCACGCATCGCTGCCTCGTTTCGGGGCATGTTTACACATGCGTGTGTGTTTTCACGTCGGTGACTGGCCTGGCATGCAGGTATAAAACAAGGGAAGCAAGAAGGGGAAGTTTGTAGGGGGGGTCAGTGACTTAGTGGATGCCGGAAATATCCCCAGGATATGTTCTCTGTCGAGGCGACCACGTGCTCATAAAGCCCAGAAAAAAATGACTAGCGTATTTTTGGGAAGAAAAAAAGTACCGTTCCCAGCGTTCCGCTAGGGAGACGAGAAATTTTTTGGCGCCCGGAACCAGGTAAATGATGTTACCCTTCGTCGAGGATAGAATCATAAAAAAATACCGTACTCATGACATGCTTGCAAATTGTGACCAGAGCATGTCATACGGTTGGACGCATCTACGTCTAACGGTAAGATCATGATCACTGGGTTAGCAGACGTGTTGTAGGAAAAAAGCATCCTTTTGAAATGCACGCACGATTTCAAAAAGTGTCTTGGGAGTTAGGAGAGATGATTGGCAACAGTCATGACCGCCCATGATTGTTTCCCATTGAAGTCTTCTGAACTCCTTAACGTTCTTTTCTTCTCCTCCTACCATGAGCTTTAAAGGCTTTAAAGATGTCTTACCTTGCCGAGGAAGTATCGGCGGTAGCACCGGGCGGTTTCATCGGTCTCGAACTTGGGTTTCCCTTGCTGGGCCGGGACGAGGGGGTTGCCCTGGGCATCAAATGGGCAATCGTGATCGCATCCGTCCACCCAATAACCGCCCCCTGGCGGTAATACGATCATGGGATAAGGCCCAGGTCGACGAAGGACTTCTTCTAGGACTTCCCGAGGACTTTTCCGGTCCGGTGGGGGCTTGGGTGGAGGGGCTGTCTTATCCATCTCCTTGTTCGGAGTCTAGAACAGAAACAACAGAAAAATATGATAACCATGCACCCCATCATTAGGAATGCATTCCGCAGGGTCCACTGCAGTGAAGAAAAACAATACTCGGGATTGTGGAATGCACTAAAAACATGGGGGTTGGGAAGATTATGCCCTTTAAATCTCGGGGGAGGGAGAGGCTTGCTAGTATTTTATAACCAGGGGGTCTTTTTTTTCTTTGAGTGTGAGTCACGACTAGTGGGGATGACGAAACCTCGACCAACATGGCTGACCACTCTAAGCCAACACCTCAGCACCCATTAGCGCCTGTGTTTTCGCACCTTCAACGTAAACGTGCCAAAAATATAGATGGCCCTTGCAGATTTCTTTTTTTTTTTTTATCGCGCCCGAACGTCTTCCGAGGCCCAGCAACATCATTCGCATGCTGGTGAGCTACAGTAGGCCTAAGGATACTGCGTATTCGCGTGTTCACTTGCAGAGGCGTATTCACGTACAGAGAATTCGGAGACTCTAACGCCCGTATGCCGAAGAGGTACGAGCTTAAGCAAGGGGGAAATTACCGTTTTGGTCTTGACGATGGAGCATCGGAGCAAAGAACCTCTTCGAAAGGAGCTCCCACTGCTGGTAGCGCTCAAAACCTCTGTCATCGCGATACACACGAGGAAATTCACTCGATTTTGACCAGCATCCCAGCACACAGAACCCAAACACACACACGAGGGGAGTTTCTCTCACAAGCGGAAAAGCGAATGGATGGCGAGAGAGGAGAGGAGAGAGAGGAGAGTCAGAGCGGTGGGACGGCCAACGCAAACTGCCCACGGCTATGCACCGAAGAGTCAGTCAAGTCAGGATGCAGGGGAGAAAGCCCCCTCTTCTCTGCAATCCTGCAATGGCTTTGCTCATGCAGGGAAGAGAAAAAACGGACGTTTTTCTCTCTCCCCCCTTCTGGCTTTAACCGTTGTACAACCGCCGCAGCACCTGCCCTGCCTCCCTGGGGCCGAAGAGGGAACTGGACTGAACTCACTCGCGCACTCACACGCTCCCTTAACAATGGACATAGACTACCGACAGGAAGGCCATGGGAAAACCTCCGTCCGGCTTCCTATTGGGAAATTGCTCCATTGTCCTGTCCCCAGCCCCGTGTAATCTTCAGAGCAAAAGTGAGTTTTCCGTCCCCGCAGGCCTGTGCATCCATGACCTCATCCTTTCCCATGCACTCCCTCGGTCAAGACTCCCCCCCCCCCTTCCAACCGTAGTCCTAATGAGTCATTATTGTTAATTAGTCAACATGAGCCGATGTTACACTTTCCCTTTCGCACGGAGGTCGCAGGGATCAATCGCCTACAATTATAACCCATATTCAGACGACACGGTTCTATCCCACAATCTTGCGAAATGCAACGCATTCCAAATGAAGGTGCCATTCCGCTGCAACGACGAAAAGCGGAAGAGCCGCACACGTCGAACCTCGCAAAATGTGGACGAGGGGGCGTATACAAGAGCGTAATCACGGGGCAAATCCGGACCATTTGTTCGGACGATCACGAACTCCCAACGAGGAAACACGTGGGTGAAGGATCGTGAGAAGAGAAGAAAGTTTATTGAACCACAAATTCATCATGGACAAGCCTTTTGTTCCTTTCTGCTCCATCGAACGAAGGAATCATTTATCATGTTCACCCCCGATCGATTAGACTTACAACAGCTTCGCCTTTTCCCTTGGTCAATGACTTTCCTACTCGTATCTGCGGCAGATGCCAGGCTCCTTCACCTGTTGCCTTTCAAACCAATCTCTTCCGGACCATAAAGCAGAGATAAGGATCGGAATTATCTTCTAGAAGAAAGGAAGAGTGGTCAGTTCATGAAAAAAACCTTGCTGCGACACGCCTTCGCCATTCTTTCAACTATGAATTATCATTTGATGCATTTTTTTCTTCCCCGATACCGATGACGGATTGAACAAGGACATTGATCCGCCCAGACCCATCTTGCTCGCTGCGAGTTACCTGCAACGAATGGGGGAACTCTGAACCTGGCCATTCTCATCCCCATGGGCCCAAAGATTAGAGCATAGAATCGTTAATGGGGCAATTTGTTTCCTGGCGTGTCGGAACAGCTCTCTCTCCTATATAATCCGATAAAGGAGGGAAAAGCCTTGCATCCCAGGTGGTGTGGGGGAACCAAGAAAACGAGGATGGAATGCGGATAGACTCATTCCTCCTGACAAATAGACCATTTCCCGGTCCTAAAGATTCGGCGGGGAGAAAAACAAATCTCAGAGAATCCGACTGATATGGAGTTTAGGGAATGGGGGCAGGAATGTTATTGGCATTCACCCGCGAAAAAGTTAAGGGATTGTCTGTAACATGATGCCGACTTTGCAGACGCCTTTCACTTTCTTATATTCTCGTATTCCTGGAATTAACCGCACGAAACTGGGGCACGGAGTTGTTTCTGAAATGTCGACACGCTCCAATCTGGTTCATGGGAATGGAAGTTTACAGGAAAAGACAATTAATTATACCTTAAACAGACAGGAAACGCCAATTAACGAAAAGAAGAAGGTGTGAGAAAGGGTGGAGACTCCAGCGTGGGAGAGAAGAACCCCATTGAAAGGGATCACGGGTGCAGCGCCGAAGAAAAGGGTCGACCTGGGTGGATTGATATCTCACCGGCAGCCGAGGGGAACGAAATTTCTCACGAACCACCTTCCACTTCCCCCTTCCTTTTATCTTTTCTCCCCCTTCCCGCGAAAAAAAAGGGAAGGGGAAAATCCTAGTGGGCTGCAAAAAAAATTCGTAGCCAGTAAAATTTCTCATATATTACTTGACCGCAGGCATTAGAAAAGAGCTGCAGGGGGGTTTAAAGATCCGGCAAGGAATTTCTGAGTCGGTAGAGCGCTCCGGGAGAGAAAAATAATAATTTGAGGAAGGCGTGAAAAAAAAAAGAAAGGAAGGCGAGAAACAACACGTGGGTATGCAAGGGAGCCCATTGACCACCCTCGGAGTATTCAATTCGCCCCAGAAGGGAAGAAATAGTTTTTGCCGCCATTCATCTCCATGCATTATCCACGCCTGCTTGCAGGCGAGGATAATTTACGAATAAAGCGCTCTCTTCCGAAAAATGAAATATTTTTCCTTGTAAAATTGGAACTTTCTCAAGACTCTCTCAGACAGACACGCAAGGAGCCGCGAATAATTCTCCAGGTCATTAAATTCTCCAGGCAAAAGTGACTCACTCTACTTAAGAAATTGCAGTCAATCCCCCATCTCAAATCTATATGTCAGCCTTGTTGCATCAAGACGGACTTATTCACTCGTAATTTAGGGTTGGCATGCAAGTGGCCCTGGGCTGGGCACCTAGCACGAACAGGAGATGACCGATGGACAAAATTAGTTACCGAGTGGCAACCAAGATAGGGAACACGCCCAAGGGAAAGATCAGAGAAGAGATGGAGTGATGAAATAATAAGTTTTCAAGGGTTAAATACATTGAGCGGCTTTGGATAGGAAGCGACGGCGAAGGCCTTCGTCCAGCAGCGGACGGGAAAATGAATGATGAAGATGAATGGTAGGGTGACATCGGCCCACGATTGAATAATTCCTAACACATTCACTGCGCCCACTCGAGGGGACTCCTCGGCCGTGCAATCATTCATTTTCCGAGTTTCTGTTAAATTTGGCGTTTGACCAGTTTATCATACATGAATCTGTATGTACCTTATTATTATATATTACATGTACACGCACGCATGCACACACACATACCCTCTTCCTCCCCTCATTCCAAATATCGGGGTAGGAGGTCATGTTCGAGGAAGAAACGGTTCTCAAGCGTAATTTCACGCTGCGGGAGCCATTGATTAGAACGTTAATCGAGGATGGGCGAGGAATAATCAAGAGAGCAAAAGGAGGTTAATGCCGCCACAGGAGAGATCCCGGGTCCTCAGCCGAGAGAAAAACAACTCAGGGTATTGAGTATAGGAATTTCAGCTATGATCAACGTCTCCATTAGTATCAGGGAATGATGGGGTTTATTGCCACTCGTTTCCGCGGCATTCCTTTCCCAATACATCGGAATCCCTACAACCCTTAGACCCCCCAAGTGGAAACACACCGAAAATGGAGAACCGGTGTTTGGGGACAGGCGCTGACTGCAAAGCAGATTTTTTTCTCATCTCGGCGACGGATTGATGATGGTGGGTCGAAAGATCGCCATTCCCGCCGGCCATGCCAAGAAAAGTTTAATACGACGTTTCCTTTCGAGTACCTCATCCTCTTTTGCATATGCACTTCACCTCAAGGGTATCTCATTCTTCTCCACAACCCGACACCGCGCCATCGGAACGGTTTAACTGCTTCACGCGTTATCTGGGCTCAGGTCGAAGGGTACAGACAGGTTTCTTTATGTATTCAAGCTTCGTTTCAAAATGCTTCCAGATAATACTGCGGGAAAAATCCCCTGGTGTTTTCCAAACGCCAATGAGCTTGAAAATGAGGCTTTCTTCTCTCGATTTTCCAACCCAACGCGATAAACGCCTTTCCTCGGTGATGTATTATGTACCGGAAATGACGAGGGAAAAAGAAAAGCAAGGAAACGGGATTTCTGCCCCATTTGAAAAGCAGGGAACGCTTGCAAGTCGAGCGAGACCCCAGGGTTCTGATCAGCCTCATCCTTATTCATTTTCTTCTTGTTCCCAGGACGCTTTTTTAAAATGAAATGCTCCGCTTTCGATTCCCCCTCCTGAGTAAGCCCCCGTTTTTTTTCTTCCCCCCCCCCCCCCCCCCCCTCCCCCTTGCAAGCCAGACGTTCGTCCCGCATCATTTACCCATCGAGTTTCTCATTCCTCCTCCCTGGTGCTTGAAAAATGAATAAAAATAAGTATTGGGCATCGTGGGGTTCAGGCACCGTTTACATTTTTCTTTTCAATCGTTTCCAGCACGACTGAATTATTGTTATTTACGATGGATGGAGTACTTGATTTCGAAACGCAGCTAATGGTCGGCGCGAGCCCCGATAAGAAATTGCATGATCGAGACCCTGGAGGCGAAGCTCGGTGCCTTTGCGGGTGGAATGCAATCGGCAGACGAAAAGAAAGGAAAATGTAATGACGAAGCATGAAAACAATCGTAATGAAGTTGCGGGAAGGTGCCGGTGACTGGGCAGGGAAAATGCGAGTGTCACAGCACAGATGTCGCCAGCTGTCAAGCCCCTTTCCACGCGCCGCCTGGCCACCCGCCGTTGCGGGTTAGTGGCAGGCCCAGGGGCACAAAGGGGGCTTTTTTCCTTCTTTCTCCCTATCTGGGATGAAAGCCACGTATTCGAATTTCAAAGGGTCGATTTACAAGGGTCAAGATTGTCGAGGAGGGCAAGGGCACATTCTGGTCGTTCCAGAGCGATTTAGAATGGAATGATCATGTCCAGTTATTGTCTCGAGAACCGTAGGCTGAAACCACGAACACGGGAGCACAAGTCGTTCAGCGTCTGCAAAGCCGGTTTCCTTCTACTCTCTCTTTCCTCTATGAATGATATTCGAGACGCGGCATCCATTCCAAACGAGTTTCGTGTTTCCCCCTCCCCCCTCCCCCCCTTTTCACCCCTTGGTCGAGAGACGATAAGGTAGACAAGTAAAAAATTACATAAAAAAAAAAACACGATAATGGTATGGGGAATTTGATACAGATGCATGCATGCACGAGAAGCCAGAGCCTTTTTTTAAATTGTCTCACCTGAGTGCTGAAATAGGCGGGTAAGACGCATCGCTGGTCGTCCAGGCGACTCGTTTGCAAGCGCTCCAGCAACTCGAACAGTTCCTGGGAGTTGTTCGCCTGCATTTTTTTTTTGCATGGAAAGAAGCAAAAGCTGTGCCACTAACAAGCTTCGACAACACGTTTCCCACCCCTCACACGAAGACACATCAACAAGATTGCAATCGTATGGAAGCTTATAAGCTTACGAAAATTTATCTTAAATTTTGATTTTCGTTTTTGCTCGAAACAAGCCAGCAAAAAAAAAGCTAAAAGCTGCGGGGAAAACCCTTTACGAAAAGAGGTAAAAAAAAAAAAAGAAAGATATGATAAAATGAGGGCAGCCCACCTTCTTTTCTGGCGATGACTCGGGAGAAGAAGCAGGAGCGTGACTCTGGCAAAAGAGCTGCCCCTCCATCGTCTGTTTCCTGGAAAAAATCCACAAGAACACGTTGGGGTCAGGTCACACTGTACACGAACGCACGATGTAGCACACTCGTTATTTGCCAGAGACTTGGCACGTTCCGAGGGAAGCGGCGAACGCAAACACGGCAACGATCGAACACACGTGCTTACTTTCTGCGGCGAGGGATGGGGGAATTCCGTCGCGACGATAGCACGGAATCCCCGTGGGATTTTGCGGGACTGCAAAGCCGCCACGGCGAGGACGATCGGTGAGTATTGAGCACCAACATGATCGATAGATCGAAACTGGGAAAAGGAGCGTGCGATTCGAAGAGAGAACGTGAGGAGGGAGCCGGAGCAAAACCAATCGTCCGGAGCGGCGCCTTTGCGCTGACTGATGGGCCCTTGGGTCCAACCCGAGGTTCTTATGAGAGAGCGAGGGAAGGGAGGCTGGAGGCTGGAGGGGGGGAGAGCTCAAACTCATGCGCTTCCCTTGTTTTCCCTTCCCTTACGGGGTGCCGTTCGCTGCACCGCCTCCTTACTCCTTCGCACTTCGCTACCTGCGCTCGTGGAAGTAGGCTGCTCATCCCACTTTGTGAGCTCCTCGAGCACACGGCGGAATGGGATCTGGACCCATGAACTCGATAGCCGGAACAAAGCCTCAGGTTAATGAAATCAACTGAGTTCTCGATACAATGGGAGCAGCGAATTCCTTTTTGTCCGATGGCCTTGGAGAGCGACGTTGATGGCTTTTCCCACACTTGGAGAGGGCGAGGGGAAAGCGCGCAAAGGATCTTGTTAGTCGTGCACTCGCTACACCTTTTTTTCTCACCATTTGTTGTAGTACGAGGTGAAAGCGAAATATGCAATCCCTCGTCGGGCGATTCCGGTTTTCGGTACGCGGAGGAACAAACACGAGAAAAATTCCAAGGCGTCCCTCGTTACCCTCGTCGAAGCAGGAATTATTTTTACTCATCGGCGGACCGTCACCGAACTCACCGGATCGAACCGCGTTGCAACAGACGATGAATCACGGAGGACAAACCTCCCCGGTCATGCATGTACGACCGAAGGATGCGACCATCACGACCGTCTCCACCGAGATGGGCATCGAAGGCCGAGCATCTCCCAAAGCCCATTTTCATGTTTCGGCCCATTCGGCATTTGCTCCTCCATTAATCGGTATGCGAGCATTACCAGAGCGTGCGTGCTTCATTCACGCCGCAGGAAATGTCCCGCATTCCTCCCGCCTCGTTTTCCCCTCCTCGAGGAAGTCAGTCCCCTTTGCTTTTTTTTTTTATTAGCGAGCCTCCTTTCTTTATAAAAAGAAATGAGGCTGTTTATGTAACCGCCAGGGTGTGTGGGTCAGCCTGTCGGCCGTCAGTGTCGGCTTTCGTCAACGGCTGCGGGTATCCTACAGGGTGTTTCGCATCCAACCGAACCGACTCGAGTGCCCATTTCCAGGTAGTCACGCCTCTTACAACCGAGAGTGCAAAACTCGATCCATTTCGTCCTTCGAATGAACAACCGCGAGATGTTAGTGCAGCAAAATGACGATACGTTCGACGGCGGAAGAGAAAGTGCGGTGCGTTCGAAGCTTTTCTAGCGTGAAAACGCAGCCGAGGTTCAAAGACGATTTCGGTGGCGAACTTTCTACACGGGAAACGATCCCACCCGCATATCCGCATTTCAGCGAAACCGGTAAACGCCACCGACCTGCCTCGCTCGGCGGAAAAATTCGGCCCGGAAGAAGCAGCAGGAACCGTGACCGTCGTGACGCGTGACCGCCGCGAATCGGGCGGACGTGCCTCCGCGGAATTGAACTTGACTCCCACGTCGGTTTTTCTCGGACTTTTTTTTTCACGGGGAGGTGTGAAGTTTTATGGTGAAGGAAAGGGCTTAGAGAAACCGGCAACCACTCGTGAGCTCAGAGAGAAAATCACAGAGGTTTTACGGGGAATCAGTCAGGACCTGACCCAAAAGTGTGCCATTACGTACAGAGACGCTTGCCTAGACAATATGGGGAAAAAAAATTTTTGTTCAGGTTAATATTAGGACCTATGATTTTTTTCATTAAAATATGCCATGTACAAAGTTCCCGTGTTTCTTAGTTACCAAGATATTCGCATTCAAGTCCGTTTGATCATACTTGAAACACCCTGTATCGTTCCTCGTTTTGCGAAATTCCCATCGCAACTGTAGACGTGACGGTCTTGACATCCTCTTGCTTAAAAAAAATTGGATGCAGTAAGAAATCTGTCATAAAATAAACGTGCAATTTATAAGCTCTGAGGAAAATGGCCCCTCCTCCGCACCGGCCACCGGCCATTCCCACGCGCGGCGTCAAAATGCATTCCGTCGGATCTTCGTCTGTTTCGTGCACATTCGCCGATGGCCAGTGGATGGCCAGTGGACTGGGCGTTGCCCGGCGTTTGTCTTTAATCGAGTCACTCCCCTCGCGGTACGTTTCCTGGTCCATTATGCGTCGTAACCTGGGAGGTAAGCATGCCGAAATGCAGTCAAGGGTTTGGCCGGACCCGGGCCCAGGGGAGGGGAAGGTGATGCAAAAACCTGACAACGTAATGAGGGATAATCTGGCAATTTCTTTTTAATTCTGGGACGAGGAAATTGCCGCATGCAAAGATCAGGGTCAGTGTCCAAGGTCCCCGCGTCCGTTCGCGTGGTCAAGGACTTTCTCCCCGCGATCCCAGAATGATGTCATGCTCGGACCGGGCAGTCCCTCGATCCCCTAACCCTTTCGTGATCGACGACGTAATACAGTCGCAATCGAGGCGTGGGATCATCAGGAGCGTCTATGATTGGAAAGGCACATGGCAGTCAACGTGGAAGCAAAAATAATACCGGGGAGCCCGGGCGAGTGGAACCGTGCAATAATGAGATCTTAATGATTCCCTGCAGCCTCCGACACGCTCGATTCCTCTAATTCCGGGAACTGTTCCTATTGGTTACGTAAATGGCACGGATGCGAAGTGGATTGGCACACCTTTCTACCTCCGGCAGAGACGAGGAAACGACAGGGTCGTATTTCCATAATTTGACATTCCCCTGAATCCGATTTTCCCTCTGGGAGTAAATATTTTTCTATAATTTATGAAATCCTGAGATTATAGGTCCTGCGGAGAGGTCATAAAAACCAGCCGGACGTTTATGGGCACCTTCCGAAAACGGTGATGTGAGGTTCTTTCACCGCAGGAAAAAAAAAAGTAGCAGCGAGGGGAGAGAAAGTGATATTTTACCCACTTATGGCAAAGGGAAATCGACAGACGCTGCGATGATTTGCATGTGCGTGCAGCGAAATGGCGTGCAGGCGCGGAACGAAAGGCTTCGTCGTGAACTCTTCATCGGGTTTCTGGGCCACAAAACGGAATGGATTCAGAGAAACATCATCATTAGGAATCGGGCCTGTCAATCACAATCGCCTCGATAATTCCTCCCTTTTCTCGCCCCTTAATCAGGTCAGGCTCTTCATCGCATATTCAGCGCCATTCTGTCCGATTCGAATCAAATTATATCCGCTAACTCGCACGAACTTTCGGACTCGTGGAGAAGCCGGTGAGAATGCATGATGAGGCCCTTGTTTCGTTTCCCTGGCATTATCGTCTGAGGACTCATAAATCCCCGGTGTAAAATGATACACACGATGATTTATATGGTGCATAATCAACGGGGGAATCAAGCGGAAAATCATCGCTCCCCCCTCTTATAAACTCCACAGGCATTTTAATGGATTCTTCTCGTTCCTACACGGAGAATACTGTATTTGGGACCCTGTCCGTAAAATTCCTCGGCCCACGCATCCGTCCTGCTATATTTCAATCGATGGAGCGGAACGCGCGAGAAATTAAGAACTTTCGGGCACGGTGTCTCGAGTGTTTGTCCATCGACGGTGTCGGGCTTTCTGCCGGATTCTCGGGAAAAATAAAAAAGGACACTTTTTCTGTCTCGCTTTCGAGTTCTGAGAACCGGTGTCGAGCGGACCTCGACCGAAATGCCTTCTTCGAAATCTTTCCTCATGCTCCCAAAAAGCCTCTTTGTGTCGGGAGTCGATACAAAGCGAATGTATATATCGTCTACGCGATAACGAACTCGGAGCTTCGAAAGGGAGACCAAAGTAAGACTTCATGATTCTTACATACAAAGACGCTGAGGGGCGACTGGTTTACGAGCTGCTCGCAAGGAGGGCTCCAAAGGTAACCCACAGAGCAGAGAGCAGAAGAAAATTTAAATCTCCAGGCTGTATAGGCAGAGGAGAGCGGAGAGCGGAAGAAAATTTAAATCCCTCGGCCGTATAGGAGAGAGGAGAGAGAGAGCGGAGAGAGAGAGAGAGCGAGAGAGGGCAAGGCATAGATGACATTCCAGGGAGAACCGCATTATTTTCTCTTGGTATGCATCGCATTATAACTTCAGGATTCTGGCTGCCTCCTTCGTGACCTCTCCGTCTTATTACATCCAATATCCTTCACTCTCTAATTGCCGGCGAATACTTTAAGAAAATATCCGGAATCCTTACAACTTTAAATACCTGTACGCATTTTTTTTCCTTCGTTGTGGGCACTATGAAGGCTGGGGAATTTTTTCGTTATCACGGTGGGATCAAGATACGACTGCGTATCCGGAATGGCTCCCTCTTTCGCGACATGGGAATAATGGGGCTTTGTTACACAGGCGCGTCATGGCTCGGATAATCATCGCGAGATTTATTACTACGGTGGGAAAAAACTGCACAGAAAGTCAGAGTCACGATCATTCACGGACCAAGCATGGAATCCAAGCACGTGCTTAATCGAATGGGAAAGCCACCGTGAGGTACGCCTAGGTCAAGGTTATTTAACCTGGGACCGGCGAGTCCCGAAGGACCCGCAGAAAATTTTTTCCAGGGAATTTCCTCGCAGCCCGGGACCAGCGAGTCCCAACCGTTTTCCTTCGATTAGTCATAAATATAATTACGGATCGTACCCGACAAGACTTTCGGGATTCATAGCCGAGGGAAAAAAATGCCGATTGTGTGCGTTGGCTCCCCAATCAGCATGAATGGGGAGTCACGAGGCGAGACCACGAGGCGAGCGATTTTCTTCGAATTTCAGATTGCTTCGAGAATCGCCTTATGCCGGATTAAGACGGATCAGAATGGGAGATGGGATTACGTTTAGCATGTTCACGAGCATGGATTTCCGTCTCTCTCGACGGAGATCCTGGGAGGCAGCATAAACACGTATGTTCTACACAGGCAGTATATCAATCAAAGGAATGTTATCTAATCGAAGTCTCCATCGAATGCATTCAATGCGCGCGCTCTCTCCCTCCTCTCTTCCTCTTCTCCCTCTTCTCTCTCCCTCTCTCGGGATGGTATCCGAGAATTTTACCTTCTTCCCGGACAACGGTATCCCGGTTCTCAACCGGTTCCTCCTGAACTTTTTTTTCCTGCTACTTACATTCCAAGACGTCTCATCATGTCCGAACTTCCTGGGCGGGTCATTAGTTCGCAACAGCCGCGGAGGAATTTCATACCGCGAGGTAAAAACGCACAAGAGATGACGCAAGGAGGCACGTGAGGTGAAGCAGATAATGACAGGCGATGCGAGGTGATGACCCCGGTGACAAACCGGTGGGCGGTGCGAGAAACGACGGCCACGCATATTACGTCACCTCCTACAGGGTTTGCAGGACGGGGTGGCTCAAGAAAACACCAGCAACCTCTCCTCATACGCCTATAATGGTGCGTAGAGACGTGTAGCTTTTGCTGTGCTTGTTATGCCGACATTCATTGTCGGAATGCACTGAAGTACACACGATTGGGTGAGCAAACTTATTTTAATTTTTTTTTAATCTGCAAAAACAACTGCAATTTCGTGGTGAAAATTAATTGGAATTGCGAGCGAAAGAAAATGATGAAACGATTCGCAATAAAATTTCTGATGCTGCCGCTGAACGAGGGTGCCTTCGTCACGGCAGGATTTCGTACTTCCCGACCGAATATTGCCGGATCCGCCGGGGTTCTAGAACCGAACTGGGCGTTTCTCCGTTTCTTCACCACCCTGTCACGAACTGGTTGTTGGGCAGTGTTGCGCAATCCCCCGTGATCCTTGTTGTCACACGAGCACCATCCCTTGATTCATGGGCCGGGCGTCGTTTATCA